CAATGCAGCTCTTAAATATCAGAAGTTTCACACTGCTGGTGATTGTTGTTGGATTTTCAGATGGGAAGAGAGGCTTCCCAGGTGAAATGGGACCCAAAGGCTTCATAGGAGACCCGGGCCTCCCTGCGCTATATCCTGGCCCACCAGGAGCTCATGGAAAGCCAGGGCTTCAAGGACCACCAGGGCCCACTGGACCACCTGGACCCGATGGTAAGTGGAGGGAAACTCAAGGGAGGTGCATTTCGGTGTCCAGACAAAGAAGCCTGGCCCTAGCCATATTTTCACTTGGGTTTTCTGCTAAATACTGTCATGAACCAATGCAGTAGGCAGCTGATTAGAATGTAGCAGGTGCTCTGTGGTGCAAATAGAAAAAGTTGGTGATGGAAGAAAGGCAAAACCTTGAAAACCTGTTGAGTATCAACAGTCCCATGGATATTGCACAGTACGTGTTGGCTGACTGTGGCTCCAGTGAGATCGATCCTTCAGTGAAACTTCTGAGAGGTGCAATCCCGAAGCAGATGAGGGATGAAAGCTGTCGGGTGATAAGTTCTGGAATAAGTCCTTCTTCCAGGGTGGAAGCCTCACGCCTTGACTTGCAGCCTCTCTCCTCTGATTAACCAACAGTTTTAAGCAAACTTGATAATCTGTCTTCTCGGCCCTCGCGTAATCAAAGCTACAACTGAACAGGTGGCATAGTTGATCACAAGAAGGGATGGCTGCACCATCTGTAAAAAGAAGTGGCAGCCATTAGCCAAGGTCAAGATAGAAGACTGTGGAAGTCTATAAAGTAGACAAGCATGAGAATCTGTCCCCACATGCTACCTTGGAACATCATCAAATCATAGCACAAAGTAGTATTTCCAGATTACAATGTTCCTGTGGCACATCTTTTAGTTAAGAATGCTCTCAGGGGGCAGGGAAGTCTGCACTCTTAGAGTTTACCTTCAAAAATGATTATTCTTTTCAGCTTTGAGTTTAAAAAAGATATGCTTTGGACATTGTGAAATCTCTTAATGGGAACATTTTGTCATTTCAAGAGATTGGATAGTTAAGGTATTGGAAGAAGACATGAGGTGACAATTTCTTCCTATGTAACAGGACCATGAGTTAGCAGCCTTTTCTATTCAAAATATTTGACTTTAAATTCTCTGATATCACTCCTGATAATCTCTATGGCTTCCTTTCTCCAAAGAGGAAGAGAATCATATTTGCTAACAGATAGTTTTTGGTTTTAGTTAAAGGTAAATTCAAAGACCCATGCTTTAATTGCTTTTGGAAGATTATTTCTCATTGCCATCTCTAGAAGGAAAACTGTTGGAGGCATTGGAAGCATATCAGCACATACTTCTTTCATTAATAAATCAGCACTAGCATCTCTGATTCTGTTTTGTATTCTACAGTAAATTTTAAAGTTAATATGGTTCTACATTCCCAATTTTCCTTCGACTGGAAAAATTTTAGGTGCAGATATTTCTCTGGAATTTGCCAGTTCATTTGAACAATGTTGTCTTTAATTTTCTTTATCCTTCAAGTAATATTTATTACTGTGGCATTTGCGATAATGGCCACATTTCTATGAGTGTTGTATATTCTAAATAAATGTTATTTGTTGAGTTTTCCTTTTTGGGCAACAAAACTTGATGTCTGAAAAATAAAAGCATGCCTCTTTAAAGGATTGTGATTGAAAGATAACCTTCCATTATTCCTGTAACTACATTCCATTGCGATAAAGACACAAAGGCATGCCACTTGCTTTATAAATCTTGCTTAACGAACTTATGGTTTACTAACTTGAGTCATCTGTAAACACATTAACTTATTTCTGATTCATATTTGTAGACTGAAGAGAGAATTTATAAAATAGATGGAATGGTATTTGATAAATTTTATCAACTAAAAATTTTAAAAGCGTACAACTTAAGTTCTCCTTGAAATATTTGTCTTATCCCATGAGACACATTATTTCCAATCATCTTTTTTTAAGCAATCTCTTATACAAAAAGTAGCGAACCGTAATGGCCTTTGAAAACATTATTGTATATAATCAAAATTTAATATCAATGACCTTGATTCTCACAGATTTCAACTGTTCCCCGGAAATGAAATTGTTGAATTCTTTTCTTGTTAACTGCATTTCATCCTGTTTTCTGTATTGTTACTATTGAAAATCAGAATTTTAATGTTTTGCAGTTCCAGCAAAATCAAACCGTGAAGTCAGTTTTCTTTCTGAGCTAAATGTTTTTGCTTACCCTTAGTTCCAGCTGAAGCAAGTGTGGGGTAGTGCTATTGTGTTCTGGAATAAGTCAAAGTACTGCCTGGCTTGTTTTGGTCAGGAAAATCATCTTGAAAACATCTAAGAGGCACACTGCTATTCTATAGGACTTGTTTGAAATTATCAATTTATTAGATAAATAAAAAAACAACAACAACATAGGAAAAAGGAAGGCTGGCACTGTAAGACGGCCACACTGTGCCTTTTTTACTAGATTTGCAAACACTGTAAGGAACACCCACAATCTCTTTGCCTCACATTTAAAATTCCTGAAGCATCTGTGATTAAATAACCACCTGTGATACTGTACTTCTCATAACATATTGGAAGGACCTAGAGGCATAAAATAAAGCCCACAGAGTCCACCACTAGACTGAAATGCACTTGACCCAGTCACCAATGACCCATGGAGCCACTTCCTAAGAGTGTCATTTTCCTCCATCAGCAGCCTCTCAACAGCAAGGATGCAGCCGACATCCCCTCCTTCACACACTCTCTTCTCTGGCCTTCCATGATGCCCCACTGTCTTTAACCCACTATTATTTTAAAGACTTTTTTTTTTTTTCAGGATCCTTTGCTAGCTCTTCCTTCTTCTTCTCCCTCTACCCATCCATCCAGTAGATGATGAAGTTCCTTGAAGTTCATTCTTAGATGATTCCAGTAGATGATGAAGTTCCTTGAAGTTCACCCCTGTATTCTCTCCCTGAGTAGATGATGAAGTTCCTTGAAGTTCATTCTTAGACCCCTGTATTCTCTCCCTATCTATCTTGGTGAACTCATCCATTCACATGAATTTAAATACAAGTTCTATGCCAGCACTCCCTAATTGTGTCACTAGCCCTGTTCTGTGTCCTAAACTCCAAGCTCATACCAACCATTAACTCATCACATAATCAATACTGTATGTATCACAGACATCTCCAATTTCGTGTGTCCAAAACTTTGGATCTCCTGCTCCCCAACTCCCCCACCCACATGCTCCTCTCCTGGGCCTCACTCATCTCCACAGACCCAGAAGCACAGGCCAGAGCCCTGGGAGTTGCTCTGGCATCTCACTCACCCACACAACGAATCTATCACCAAGTCCTAGCGATTCTGCCTCTTGAATCTAAAATCTTGAATCTGTCCATTGCTCTTCATTTCACTGCCTTTGACCCGATGAAAGTCACCACAGTATCTCATGCTTAGTCAGCTGGAATATCCAACCCACTCATGATCGGCTTCCATGCTTTTTCCAGTAATTGTCTACACAGCCAGCCTGTCCTTTTTACATGTAGATTAAATTGTGTAACTTCCGTCTTTAAAACCCTTTAATGGCTTCCTATTGCCCTTGGGATAAAATGCAAACCCCATTCCTTAGACCTCGGGGCTGGCATGACCTCATTCCCCTCCCTTCCTGTAACCTCACTCCTCACTCATCACCCTCCTATGACTGACTTTTTTTCAACCTCAGGGACTTTTAAACAAGTTTATTCTCTCTCAGGAACATTCCCTCCCTCCCTATTTTGGCTGGCCATCTTTTTTTCTTAATTTAAGTGTCATGTTCTCAGAAAAGACCTTCCTGACACCCTCTCCCCAATTTTAAATGGGCTTCTCCCTATTACTTTCTCTGAGCTCCCTGTTCTCACAGCACTTGTCATAATTTGAAATTCTATGTTGGTCTATTTACTAAGATGTATCTGATGTGTATCTCCACATCTAAACTGGAAGCTCCATGAAGTTCTGTCAGTTTTGTTTCCAACTGTATACACAGCTTCTAGCACTCTGCTGGACACAGCATAGGCTCCAGGCAAATGTCTCAACGATGGATGGATGGATAGTTGGATGGATGGATGGATGGATGGATGATGGATGGATGGATGGGTGGGTGGATGAGAGATTATATTAAATATGTAATGAGGCCAAATTACATGGGACAGTAGTCATTGCCACCTGGTCATAAAGATTTATAGTTACCTAGCAGTGTTCTGACACTTAAATTTTGTTGTCATTTTCCCAAGCAGCTAGCAAAAGTTTTTTTAAATTGATATTTTCCTCTCCTTCTTGCTTCCTTAATCACCTCATGCTATCCTCTCAGGAGCCATGAGGTGAATATGGCAGCATGTGTTTTAATTTGTTGGAGGAGTTTCATTGGATCTTTGGTGGTGTGAGCACTACAGTGTATAGCGGTGGGGAGAACAAAACAGGTCAGGGAAACAGATTCCAGGCCCAGCAGCGAGGTTTCCTGGACATGTGAAGCCCCAGTCCGTCCACAAGATGGTGCTCCTCTCGAACGTGATGTGGAGAGTTTTGTTGGCTTTAGCAGTGTATTTCTTATACCTTTGCCTAGTGGGGAAATGAAGGATTGTGTCAGAGCCGTGCAGACGCTGGCAGGACTTCTGAAGTACCCTGACCCCAGCTAAAGGGGTGAGGGTCAGGACTGGGGAGGTGGGTCACAAGTTATCTACGTTAATGACATGAACTTCGTGTGTGTGTGCGTGCATGCGTGCACCGAGGAGCGAAAGAGGAAAGAGGGTGTTTATGCTGTGTGTGGGAGGGTGGTATGTACATGTGTGCCCCTGCTCCAAGGCAGAGGACAGAATAGGGAATCAAGCTAACTGGAATATCTTTTATTATCTTGTTTTGTTCTGTGTTTTGTCTTTTGGGGAAGCAGAGGTTTGAATCCAGGTCTTTAGCATATAAGTAAAATACGTAATCGAAAAATCAGAAGCTTTCCTTGGACTCGATGTTTCTCAAAAACAAAGATTTTTATTTCTAGACTTACTGAGCTTTCACATCTCTTTCCATCGCTGAAAACTGTGGCCACAGAACAGTCTCCGTTTCTTTCCTAAGGTGTTTTGGAATATAATTGGAGTGTGGGAGTCACTTTTACTCTCTGTGGGGAGATTATCTGAAAACGTTCCCACACTGGATTTGGCAAGATGTGGGGTCCCTCGTGCTGTGCTAACGTGCCGGCTCCTGTGGCTTTTCTCCTTAGGTTTCCTTTATGGCCTTAAAGGAAGAGAAGGAGAGGCGGGCTTTCCTGGGACTTCTGGTTTCCCTGGGGCTCGTGGACAGAAAGGATGGAAAGGTAAGGAATGTCAGAAATATGGAGACGGGGTAGGGGGATGCCTCAACCCTTCTGATCCACCTCACCCTTTCACTTGTTCTGAAATGAACACGATCCTTCATTCCCCCACTGGCCTCCTTTCCTCTGAAAGGGAATTCCAGTGAAACTAAGGTGGGTGATGTCTGCACCCAGCAGTCAATTTGCTCACCCGTCTCTATTCTCTGTCTGCCATCTTCATCACTGAATTTTCAGAGAGTGCAGAGCTTGGCACTGGATAAAAGTGATGAGCAATGATTTCTTAGGCTGAATTCAGATGCAAGTGCTCGGCTCCAAGGCAATCTAACAAGTACTTGCAAAGGGCCCATCTGCTGTAAAGTGCTTGTAGAGGAATCATCTGGTCTGATCCTAAGGATAACTCCCTGAGTTAGGAATTAGTTAATGGGCAAGGAGGCCGAGGCTCAGAGGAGTGACATGACCTGCTCAGCATCTCACTCCCACTTGGTGGTAAAAGTGCAGTTGAAACGAGCTGTCCTCGCTTTTCTCTTCCTGCTGCAGCTCAGGGACACCGCCCCTAGCTCAACATCCTTCCCTAGGACAGGTTAGCGCAAGTGGCCCCTTCTCTGTGGGACTGTCAAGACCTATGGGATGTGTGGGTGCATTGGTGCCCCACTGCGGAGGGGGCTGACTGCAGGAATCAGACATCTGTGGGTGAGCTATACAACTCAGCCCCACTGAGCCATCATCCGTCATCATCTGTGCCCTAGGGAGCCAACCCTAGCACAAGCACCAAGCTCCCTAGCCACAACAAGACAGAAGAAGAGAGGTAGTGTATTTTTTTCTCTGCCTTCCCATGATCTTGGCCTCCAAGGGTTCAGCTTTTGCCAGGCTGCCCACCTTCATGGCTCACCTTCACCTGGACCCTGGAACACCATCTCCTCCCTTTTCCCCTGAGTCCCCGTGGTGGCTTCCTACAGCTCCTGTCACTGAGTCCTCAACTCCAAGCATACCCCTGTAAATGGTCCCATTGCTTAAGAATCTTCAATAAACATCACAGTAGAATTCTGCATCCTGAGGAGACCACGACTGCACACTTGAGTGACTCATGCTCCTCGTCTAAGGAATAGAGATGATAGTCCCCACTGTCATCACTGTGCACAGAAGTGTGAGGACCAGAGTAGATGATGGCCATGGAGTATGATGTTGCCTTCCCTCCTTCCACCTTGCTTATGCTCCTGTCCCTGCAAAGCCAAAAGAGTGTTTAACAAACGCTTCATGAATAAATAACAAGCCTTCCCCTCTCCCTTGCATTGCAGGTGATGATGGAGACTGTAAATGCGCAGAAAGTGATCAGTTCATCAGGGGTCTTCCGGGGCTGCCAGGACCCAAAGGCTTTCCAGGCATCAATGGGGAGCCAGGGAAGAAAGGGAGCCAAGGAGACCCCGGCCATCACGGCATCCCTGGTTTCCCAGGGTTCAAGGTAAGAGACCAATTCTGTCATAAAGCTGATAAGACGTCCTAGATGCCTATCCCCGTCCTCCCATTCCTGGCTTTTATCTACTGAATTAACATAGCTTTAGACCAGGAACACTCATGTACCCAGTGCACCATTCGAAAAGCCATGTACGCAAGAGGAACTTTAAAACGTTTACTGGTGGAAACGTGAAATGATGCAGCCACTGTGGAAAACAGTTTGACAATTCTTCAAAAAGTCACAGTTGCCATGTGACCCCGAAAATCCACTCCTAAGTATAGACTCAAGAAATTGAAAACACATGTCCACACATAAACTTGTATACAAATATTCATAGCAGTATTAATAATAATAGCCAAAAAGTAGAAACAACCCAAGTGTCCATCCCCTGATGAATGGATAATGAAACTGAAGCATACCCACACCGTGGAATATTATTCAGCCATCAAGAAGAATGAAGTGCTGATACATGCTATGATATGGATTAATCTCAAAAACATTATGCTTAGTGAAATAAAATAAACACAAAAGAACAGATATTTTATGATTCTATTCATATAAAGTGTCCAGAACGAGCAAATCGAGAAACAGGAAGTAGATTGGTAGTTGCCAGGGACTCAGTTGGGGAGGAATGGCAGTGACTGCTTAGTGGGAGCAGGATTTCTTTTTGGGGTGAAGAAAATGTTCTGAAATCAGATAATAATGAGAGTTTTACAACCTTGTGAGAGTACTAAAAACCACTGAATTGTATGCTTTAAACGGTGAATTTTATGGTATATTAATTATATCCCCCCCCCGCAAAAAAAACTTCTAGCATTTTGAATGTAAAGCATCTTATTTATTGAGTCTTCACCTCTTCATATTTAGTATAGAACTGGTTTTGCATTTTCCAAAGGCTCCCTTAACCCAATAAACCTGAGACCTCCTAGTCAATAATGAATTTACTTTGTATGAATGTGTGAAATTCCCTGCCCATGGCTTCCTGTGTACATCACCTAAGTGGACTTTATTTCATGCCTTATTTAAAGGTCATCTGGAATAGATCGTTCTTCCATGGCAGGTTTTAACTAACCAACAATGTCAAAGCAAATTTCAGATGAAAGAAAAGATATTATACTTTTTATTTTATTTTTTCCTTAAAAAGAACTGCAGAAGATTTATAAAGTGAAAAGTCATCACTTTATATATTTAGCAATAGGGGGAAAATTGCTCAAGACACTTGGCCAAGCACAATTAGGATGATCTGGCTCCACAGCATGGTGCAGGACAATTATACTGCCACTCAGAGCTGCTGGTGCAGAAGGTCACGACTACTGTTTGGCAGGTGAAAATGAGATCCAGAGCACCTCTCTGCTCCAGGCCCCAGGATTTCTCAAAAAACAAATAGTTTTCTCCAACTGATGTTAGTAGGTGCTACGTTTTGTCTTAGTTTAAAAATGATACCACCTTCAAACCATGGCTGTCGACGCATGTAAAAGGATATGTCGTGAGAATTGCAAACATCATGGCAAAACTAGAAAGAACCTTCAATTGTTTATAAAATGATTGACTATTTCCTAGAAGATGGAAGGATCCCATTTGGTGTCCCTGGAATGTCTAAAATCTCAGTGCACAGGGTTTCCCCAACTGTATACACCCCACAGCACTTGTGTTCAAACACCTCTGGTGTTGTGTATGTTGCTTTGCATTTAATTATATGTCTATGTGACTGCCAACCCCACCGCAGTAGGAACGACTAAGGCAGTTTTTAATTTTTAAATGTTTGTACTGATAGAGTCTGGCAGAGTGTTGGAAGTATGGGAATCTGTCAATAAGCAAATTCATCCATCCATCCATTTGCCCAACACCTACTTATTGAGCAGCATCTGTGTGTGAGACACTGTCTGGATACTTAAAGAATGTCACCCTTTTCTGCAAAGAACTAAATCAATAAACCAAGAGTCTGTGGAATTTTTAGGAGAGAGGAACTCATAATCACTTGTAACATTCCATTTAATTAAACCAATACTAAAAGCTCCCATAATCTTGAAAATAGCATCAACCAAGATTTGCCAAAAACTAGCATATCACACATATTAAAATGTATCCTGAACCATTAAGCTGTTCGTTTCTGCTCATTGGGAAATCTAAAATGTGTCGCTGCAATAAGCATGTCTCTAAAGTATGTTTTCTTCAAATCTTAATTTCCATTTGGAAGATAAGCTGTTGATTAAATATTCTTTGTTCTCAATATTAAAGATCACAAATTTCCATTCTGTGTACTTGGAAGCTATATTGTCTGCTTAGATTCTAAATAATTAGCCACTTTGTGTTTTAGATCATTGCTTTTCCAACAATTTGTAGGTATATGAATCCCTGGGCTTTTGTTGAAATACAGATTCTGGTTCAGTTGCCCTGGGTGGAGTTTGAGGTTTTCATTTCTCACAAGCTCCCAGGAAAGGTTCCTGCTTCTGCTCTGTGGACCAAACCTTGAGTACCAAGGTTCTGGTTTTCACTGTCCAGCCACATGTGGCTACTGTCATTAGGTTGTAATAAATTAAATTTTAAACTTCAGTTCCTCAGTCCCAGTGGCCACGTTCAAGTGTTCAATAGCCATTTGTGATTGGAGACCACTGTACCGGACAGCCAGGTATAAAGCACTGCTAGCATGGCAGAAAATTCTTTTGAACAGTGCTGAGCTTGATGACAGATAATGGCCCTCGAGTCATATGAACTGAAAGTCATCATCTCCAGAGATGTCCTTAACAGCATGAAAGAGGAAAAAACTGTGTGCTTGTTTCCGCAGGGAGCCCCCGGTGACACTGGACCTCCTGGACCCAAAGGGCTGAAGGGAGACTCCAGAACAACTACCACCAAAGGTCAGTCTCTGCGGCCAAGCCACTCTTGGACCGTTTATCCTTCTGCGGCAGCACTGTATGAGTAGAGTCACACTGCAAATTCTTTCCCAGGTGAGAGAGGACAACCAGGTGTCCCAGGTGTGCCTGGTTTGAAAGGCGACGACGGCATCCAGGGGCGTGATGGGCTCGATGGATTCCCAGGCCTTCCAGGCGCTCCTGTGAGTAGCCACGAGTGTGGGACTGGCTCCTTAAACACCTCAGAAGCGAAAGGCTCTGACACTACACTAAATCCACCTCATGCAACTCATTCTGTTTTAATGAGCAGAAATTATATTTTTAGGTAACAATGAGTTAGGTTGGTAGCCAAGCTCAGAGTGAACATTTAAGAAATAACGAATATTCTTCCCAGTGTAACAGAATGAAATACACCCCACCCCAAAACAAATGTTCTCAAACAGATGGCGGAATGCTATCTTTCTAGGATAAGTGTAAAATATACAACTTGCTTTGGCCACAAACGCACCAGAGTTGAAAGAGAAGATGTCTAATAGTGTGCAAAATCCCGGCCTCCTTCTGTAGGGCGGAGTCTGCAGTCAAAGATGGAGAAGGGTGGAGATAAACCACCAAACTGAGATTCTACTTCAGTTCATCATCCTTCTTTCGCTGACCTCAGCCCTGCCATCATGCCTTTCCCATAGACAGTTCTGGACTTTTCTCATCTCCTGATTCTGCAATGTGATTTCTCACCTCTTTTTTTTTTCTAGATTCCATTTTTGTCCCCCTAAGCTCCTTGAATTCGCTTCCCGGGTTTGCTCTAACAAAGCACCACAGACTAGGCAGCTTAAATGCCAGAAGTATCTTGTGGGGGACACAATTTAACCCACAACTCTCTTCCTTCTCCTCAGAATGTCACATCTAATTTCTCTTTGCCAGATTATTTGCCTCATTCCAAAATTGAGGTCTTCTTTTGTGATGTTCGTCGTTTCTATTATAACACTGTTAGTTTTAGTGCATTTTCTTGGACTCTTTGAAAACACCTGGATTATTAATAATTCAGTATTGCTTTTTTACTTATAATGTTGAAAATCATTTTCAAGAAGAAGTCGAGTACCACAATTGCACAACCATGTTGTGCAAATACCTTGATATGTGGCTGTCTGAGATAAAAGCGTAGAGACCACTCGTTTGGCTAATGAGGAAATAGCGAGAGGTGACATGACTTGTCAGCACTGAGTCTAGGTCCTGGTCTATGATCATAGAATTTCAGCCATGTCTGTAGCCTTGGAGAGGGTCGGAGAAGTGGGGCTCTGCTCTGGATGGGATGCTTCCAAAAGTACAGATAATTCTATGATCAGGTATCTTAACAAGTCCTTTCTGGAAGTCAAGAGGTGGGAAATAGTGAGACCAGAATTACAATTGGTAAAGAGGAGGGTGGATTATGTCGATGGTTTGAAAAATGTTCATGTTTTTGCCTATTCAAATATGATTACGGAGTGGCCTTTGTGTGTGTGGTGTGTGCATGGCATGTGCGTAAGTGCATGTGTATGCTCTCTGTGTGTGGTACGCACATGTGTGTATGAGTGTGTGTCTTGCTTCATCACAGTGGCCTTGTCTGATGTGGTTTGTGAACTTATCAGTGTTCAGTGGCACACTTGGCATGGCCATGAAGGCAGCCAGCTTCAGCAACACCTAGGACTGGCCCTCGGACCAGATCCTGGCAGTCAGGGGTTGCTGTTGTCTTTCTGTTATTAAGAGCCAGCGCTTAAACCCACCACTTCTGAGTCCCAGTCTGGTGGCTTTTGTCAGTATGCGCTGGAATTTCTTCCTTGCTTGCTGGAATTTCTAAGCGAAGAACATGAATATCTGCCTTGAGAAACCTCAGTGAGCGCACCCCAGAATGCTCCCCAGTGGTCATCATTGTTCTCCACTATCTAAGCTTGATGCACCTGCCAGCTGATCTCTGCAGCGGATCTGAGAAATGCCAAGGCCTGTCCGTGTCATTAAGCCCCTCTTAAAGAAGCCAAAACACGGGCGCTGTGTGGTTTAATCAGGGCCATGCTAATACTGAAAGAGTTTGACCCTTGATCATCCCACTACTCCTCATGCCTTTGGGAATGAAGGAGAAAAGTAACCTCGAGGGACAGCACTGTTTCATTTCCTGGAAGCTACTGCCTCCTTACCATCAGAATATCTCGATCTCATTCACAGCTCAGGCAGATGGGCTGGGACTTATTTGCTCGGGTGTTATACCGGCTTGTTCAGGCATGCTCAGCACAAAGCCAGGCAATGATCTGCCTGTGACCCTGCAGACATCATTCCTTCTAACTCTCCTTTGATCATTCCTTCGCCCACCCCAGTTTTCCACACTTGCTTAGTGGTTTCATTAATAGGACCTGACATTGCTGAGCGTCTCCCAGCTTCCCGCTTTTCCGACCCAGTTATCTCTCCTTATTTCTCATGAGCACACTGCTCTTTATTTCTTGTCCAAATTAAAGATTTCCTTTTCTTCGACAATGCATTAGCCCTTGTGAGTAGTAGATATGTCACAAATGCTAAATCATAGCAATAAAAATAACGTGTTTCTATTCCCATTTATCTAAACCTATGCATAACTGTTCTCATTTCTAATTCTTTCTGTGAATGAAGGTCTGAATTACATGCACAGGTGCTAGTGGCTTGGAAAGAAAAAATAAATACTCACATAGATCTCTGTGCTTTTCAAAACTACCTTCTATTGTGTTGCTCATGATTGGTGTAAAATCTGTCCTTTATTTCTCTGACTTGGGTAGACCATGACTATAGGTTCTTATTAATCTCCACTGTCTTTCTGCTCTATATCCATAGACAGAACTCGGGGAAATGAGGAAATGGAAGTGGGAATATGACTATCTTTGAGGTTTACATATCTTTTAAGAGATAAACTGAATTTTCCCACAGGGTGATGGTATCAAAGGCCCCCCAGGGGACACAGGTCACCAAGGAGCACCCGGCACTAAGGGCATTCCAGGAGAAAGAGGTCCCCCAGGATTGGGCCTGCCAGGCCCCAAAGGCGAGCGTGGTTTCCCCGGAGATGTCGGGTTACCTGGACCACCAGGTTTCCCTGGCCCTCCTGGCCCCCCCGGCACTCCAGGACAAATAGGTATGAGGGATCCTCTTATCTGTCTTTCAAGTCATGAGACACTGTTTAGTATTTCAACATCTATCCATTATTTTTTTTTGGCAACGCATAAATTCCCCAGTGGTGTCACGTAAGAATGCTGTATTACACCATCAGTTTTCAGCACATACAAATGACTCCCAACCACAGGGTTTCCGAACCCACCACCAGCCTTCTCTCATCAGTGCTGAAGTCATGGAGGCTTTGCGCAGAAGCTCAGAAATAAGCCTTTGGAGTCACTGTCCAGCCCCTAGCCTTCCCCCCAACCCAACACACATACACCCATAGATAAGTTAGTCACTCTCAGTCATTCCAAAATTGCCTCACTCTGTCATCATGTCTTGCTCCTAGATTGTGATACAGGTGTGAAAAGGCCCATTGGAGGTGACGGGCAGGACATCATCCAGCCAGGTACTACCATGAAGATCAGGAGGCTTTAAAACTCTTTAAAACTTTTCATTTATAAAGCATGTGACTCATCAACAACTGCTGTGAGCTCCTGCAGTGAGCGTGGAGCTGCGGTAAGAAATATATAAATATGTGCAAATCTGGAAGTTGACACCCCATCTGATTCAGCTTAGAATCAAAGGAAAGGCAAGTATAAAAACACATAATGTTATCTAGTCTTCTCACCGATATAAAGCATCAATTTACAATGTCAGTGAGAACTCAACAGATAAGTATTTTCACACCTAAAATATATGCATATATTCATCTCTCTGTCTATACGTATATAAAGGAAAACTGTGAATTATTTGTTATATAGGGTAAAGAGCCAGTACAGGTAGATGTCAGAAAAAAAGAATTTGGTCTAGTGATAAATGCATGCTAGAAAGAACAAAGGCTGACACATAAAAAGAGGGTATGGAGCTGACCCTGAGCCGAGGTTTAGTGGTGGGGAGGAGAGGGAGACTGTGTGGAGGCTGACCCGGCCGATAATGCAGAGGCAAAGTCTCCAGCCAGGGGAGACTTAGAAACCCAAGTGGGAAGACAGGGAGAGACATGGGTCCAAGATACAGAGGGGATGCTAACCTCGGTCAAGATTTTGAAGAGAGAAGCAAAGAGGGTGAGTTTTGCACAGTTTAAGGTGCTAGTAAAACATTTGGATGGCAGTTGAAAGTTTGGATATAATTCTCAAGATAAAGGTTGGGGTTGGAGAAGTAGTATCAGAATCTGTGGGTCCCCTGCACGAGGTTTCGGTTGAGGTGTGGGAATGGACCCAGCGCTCAGGGCAAGACTGCAGAGCATGAGCGGCAAACCCCGGAGCTTTCAGAGAACCGGCCAATCACACAGATGTGGGACGGTGCCTGGGCGAGAGGCTCTGAGGGCCCGAGGCCAGCTGCCTCACCCACCAGCCCTTGAAGACATCCGAGTTTCTTTCTTTTTATGACCTGGTCAGGCTAGTTTGCACTCCCTGGGCCCCTAGTATGGCAGAGAAGTCTTCCTCTGCAGACTGTGGCCATTAAGTCAGGTCAAAATAGGAGCCCAGCCAAATGACAGGCCCACAGTGGAAGGACCTCAAAGAATTGCTGTGCCTGCAGGGGGCTCCCTCAGCCAAAAGCCAGACAGCAAAACACCCCTGCTTAATGTCGCTGCCCTTGCCACACCAACCAGAAGTGGCTGTCGCCCAAGTTTCATTTTGCATGGCTCGAAGAAGCTACTCGCTATGGCTAATTCTGAAAGTATTCAAAGTCACAAAAGATAAGTCGAAGAATTTCTTCTGAAGTCACAAGCGGTCTTCATCCACTAGTGAACATTTCCACACAAAAAAAGAAACAAAAAAGGGCATTCACTGGGGAGGACCCTGGTTAACTCAGTCGAGATGAGGTGCTGCCCTAAATGAGGGATGGATCATTGCCAGCACAGGGCCGGTTTTCATTTGATTGGACCTACTTTATTTGCATTTTATATTAATATTCTAATTCCATTACGCAACGAAATTAAACTTTTATTTACTTCACAATCAGGATTAATTAACTCATTAAATTACTCTGATCATAAAATGGTAGCCAGTTTTCATGGCTGGTGCCTTTGACCTTGGCAATATCCCAAAGCCATGCAACTCTGCATTGAAGGTTGCTTCAGCTCACCGTTTTTTCCTTTCTCTTCCCAGGTTGTGTTGGAGGGCCCAAGGGATTGCCAGGCCAGCCAGGACGCCCGGGCCCCAGAGGTAATGTGCTCTGGTAAACTAGAGAGCACTTCCAGTCTTCCTCTTTGCATCTTCATTTTTCTTTCCCCTCTTCATACATTTTTCCTCTGTCCCCTGCATTCCTCTCTGCCCCTGGATGATTGTTTTTCAGGGTTTTGACTGAGAGAAAAATGGAAATAAGCAGGACTAGGAATTTGTCTCTACAGTCTAGGAGGAACTGGGCTTTGCTGGAGCAGACCAATCACCACAACTGAAGAACTCGTGTGAAATAAGTAGGGGATGGTTATCTATAACAGAGCCCAGTGTCTACAGCCGTCCATGTGCCCACTTGTGGCACGGCATTTCAGAGATAACAAATGTGGCCTGCTCGGTGATACACAGATGTCTGTGTCTGTCAACCTTGGACAAGAGAGTTCTCAGACTGCAACACTGATAAGCGTTCAGCCTTTTGATTTCTCTCCTCCTCTGACTGTGGCAAGCCAAGGGAAAATACCTCGAGTATCCACTGAGGAAGTCGCTCAGGTACTTGAGGGTTGAGAGCACAAGGCATGCAGCCAGAAGCCTGCCTCGTCGTCCAGTTCTATTGCTACCGAGCAGTGGAGCTTTGGGCATCTCACTTATTTCTTCTGGAACTTAGTCTCCTCACCTGTATGAAAGAATTAAAACAGGTGTTCTAGACACTTCCTACTTTGCAAAGGATGCCCACGATAACCTGTGAGTGAGGTTCCATATAAACTGTAAAGTGCCAAGCCACTGGGACAGTTTTCAACAGCACCTGGGTGGAAGCAAGGTCCAAAATATACATGAACTGAGTGTCAGGGGAGATTTTGAACATGTGTTGACAACATGAAGCTTAATAAGATCATAGGTTAATGAGATCAGGAGATTATAGATTCAACATTTCTGATATTGACTGATACTTAGTCTGGAAGGTGATTATGGATTTGTAAAAAATAATTTTTACTGCTTCCCACACATATCGAGCTCATGTGAGTGACATAGCCTGTAATTCTGAAGCATCGATAGAATTCAGAGGCAGCGTATGTTTCATGTCCTGTTCTCAATTTCAGTTAAATCTTCTCTTAAGCCTGACTAGGTTTTCTTTTCCGAAACTGACTTATGAGTTAAACTCACCTAATACATCTTCACTTCAGAACAACTTGAAAAATGTATCTTTTTTTATCTAACTGCTGAACTTTATGTTTGTGTAGGACTTGTCGATGCAAAACCATTTTATTCTGTTCATCAATTACATTCATATTTATAGATTCTCAAGTGTATTGGAATTCTGAACAAATATGTTTCTATACATCTAAGTTTGAGCAAACCCCATTTCATCATCAGAGTAATAACCTTAGAAAAATCCAGTCTTGTGTGAGAAAGAACATTATTTGGCACTACTGATGCCGACTGCCCCCTCCTCCTCTCCCCCAGTCAAATACAAGGTTCTGTTTTAAACCATTTAATTACACTGGGGAGATAATGGTCTAAGAGGACTGTGCTACCAATGGGAAATTTTGGATAATCTGTGCTTCTGTTTGGAATGTGAGCAGGGGTGAAGCTTGGGTTCCTACACCATGTATTTTCCCAAAATAGCCTTGCCGACGAGACCCGTGGGGAACGAGGTCCCACATGGGAACTGGTGGGTGCCACACACAGCCTTCCTTCTTCTCCGCAGCCCCAGGGAGGCCCTTATGAGAATCTTTCTCAACCCATTTCTGCCGCCTGGATAGAAAGATACTGAAAACTCCAGGGTGCTGGATTATTCCCTTCTACATGAGGGCAGCGCAGCAGCCCAACCGTATGGCCTACAGGGACCTTTCTAAAAGGACAGTAACCCAGAAAGCCTGGAATCCTTACTATACTGATACAGCTCTCTACCCAGTGCTTTGCCTGCCCACGCCCCTGCCTGCCTCACACACTGCAGGGAGGAGGCTGGTGTTCTGATATTTACAGAGAATTATGATGATTCCTGAAGCATCTGGCTGCCAGCAAGAGGCAGGTGTGCTGGCTGTGGTTTCCAAGAGCCTGAGGTGAAGGGAGTCTCTGAGCCAGACCAGGCGGGAACAGAGATACCTGGAAAAAAAATTTCTTGAGTTTGCTTCCCATATGAAAAGCTTCGGATCAAAGATGTCCAATAGATTAGGAGTTATTTCCTTTAGCTGGTCCGATGTTTTACTTTCTTTTAAATCTAGGTCATAGGTAATATAAGTCGACATTTTTCAAATCTAGGTAGATTGGCTCTGAGTGAAAGATATGGGAAACTTTCAAGGGAAGTTCTTATTTAAAATGCTTAAGATATTGTAAATGTTTGCATAATGGGGAAGATTTAATGAATTGTGATAAAGGGTAGACTGATATAGCTGGAGGAGACAGGCAGCTTTGTAGCACCTTGTTACTCAAAATATGGTCCTCAAAGAAGTGCTGGTGTAATCAACCTCTCAGACATCAAGGTTTTTTCAAAAGCTGTAGGAGGGTCTAGAGTGAGTGGAGAAGGGTGTCAAAGGGGCCACGGGCAGGAGGCTGAGAACCACAAAGCTGTCTGTGTGGTAACCCGACAGTCCTTCTCAGGTCCCCCAGGAGGGCGGTGTCCTGCAGATGCAGGTCTTCCCTGTTCTTTCTAGCACCCCTGCAGTCAAGGCTTCTGTGAATTGGAAGGAGGTGTCGAGTTTCTGGAGCCCTGGGGCCTCCTCTTCATATTTTGACTGTCACTATGAGACCCTCTCAGGCCTCATCCCGAGAATCTTGTTAAAGGATTTACTCAACTCAGCAAGTCTGTGGAGGTTTCGACCTTGTGTCTTTTGACGTTGACCCTGGACATCATAGAGACAGAAAATATGGGGAATTTTTCCCAAGAGTCCTCCATGTTTAGGAACATGTGCTTAGTGTCAGTTTGCAAACTTTTCTTCATACGAGAACCTTTCATATAGATAAAGTCTCAGGTCAAAGAGGATCAGAAGCCCACACATGTGACACACACCCAGACCAAAGGTGTGACCTGAGGCCTGGTCCCCACACAGAACTCAGAAGTCCAGGTCTGAGTGTCCGAGGCCCCAGGCCATTGTCCTGCCATGGCTGCCTCGTTACACTTCCTAAACAGGGCTCCTTGGCTGAGAGCCCCTAACTCGCTTTCTGTCTGACTCCTCTCTTACTTCTGCCATCCGCATACCTACTTTCTGAGGCGGGAAGGGTGTGTGGGTATCACACAGCGGGGAACATGGATGAAAAAGCACAGAAGTTCAGCTTTGTAGCCTGGTGAGGAAACTCAGCCTTCTAATCCTAAGAGCGTTTGTGGAACTCACCCACTGTGCAAGCACTGCTTAGGTATTTGACAAGAATCATCTCATTTAGCCCTCACGATACCGCGTGAAGTAGATATTATTTCCCCATTTTGCAGATGAAGAGACTGAAGCCCAGAGAGGTTCAAAAACTTGTCCAAGGCCACAAAGATAGAAGAGGTAGAACCAAGATTCACACCCAGACATTCTGAGCCCTTAATTAGTACACTGTGGAACCTTAATATTGAGCATTATTCTTAATAGTTCGAGTCCTTAAACATGATTTTTAACCACTGGAAATAATCCTGTAAGTCCAGAGGTGCTGTTTTAGTTCAGTCATTATAATCTTCAACTCTAGTATTTCTGTTGTTTTTTTTTTACAGCTTCTGTTTCTTTGTAGAACTTCTCATGTTGTTCATGTATTTTTTTCCCGATTTCATTTATAGTCTATCTGTATTCTCTCGTATTAACTGAGCTTCTTTAGGATAAGTATTTTGAATTCCTTGTCAGGCAGTTTTAGATCTCCATTTCTCTAGGGTTAGTTACTGGAGCTTTATTAGTTTTCTCTGGTGATGTCATGGGTCCCTGTTCTTCATGATCCTTGTGTCCTTGTGTGCATTTAAGGAAGCAGTCACCTCTTCCAGTCTTTATAGGCTTCAGTGGGGAAAGATCTTCACTAGTCAGCCCAGCCTGGGACTCTGGGCCAGCCAGCTGGTAGCATCCACTGCCAGGGTCTGTGGGGTCTGCAGCTGGGTACAGCTAGCTGTCATATGTACTGTTTTGGAATCAACATCCCCCAGCCTCATCATTTCCCAGTTTCATAAGCAACCACAAAGTCAGGTGCCAAACTCGACCATCTCCCATTCCTCTACCACTTGGGTTTCCTCCTGGGTCTCTGATGTATGTCATAATTTCTTTGGGTTGTTTAGGTGCCAAAGGCCTCAGAGGGACACCAGGATTCCCAGGAGCCGATGGAACACCAGGACTGAAGGGTCTCCCAGGAGATCCAGGTCGTGAAGGATTCCCAGGACCCCCAGGTAAGTCAGGGTCGGACACCTACTCGGCCCTTTAGGTTAGGACATAAGAGCGTATAATCGGGGTGCCTCAGTTCTGTAGTCTTTTAACATTTGGAAACTGTGTCAACATATGCCTGATGACAATTTTTGTTCTTGGGAGATTTACATTATTGAATTTCTTATCATTAATATTGTGCTGGAGTTTTGCAGGAGATGATGCAGATATTGCAGGAAAAAAGACAAGTGTGTAGAAAAATTTTTCTTTGGTCAATAGTAAACATTCTAAGGGCAGGATAGTGTTATTCTCTGTGATTATCATCAAAAGGACAAACTGCTAATCACTTTCCCAATCTGCTAATCACTCACTCACCAAATACCACACGAAGAACATCTATGTTTTTGCTTTTCACAGCATTTCTTGCTCACTTACATTTGTAGCGTGTGTTGAGTAAACAGTTCAAATCATTCCATCTACATTTGACACAGCAAAGATTTATGGATTCCATTTAATTGCTGAAAGAGGTAAAGCTTTTTACCTGAATATGGAAGGAAATGAATATGTTTCCGGTAATGCATTGTGTAAGAAGTAAGGAGGACGTGCTTGGGTGTTAGCATACTCGGTGATATGATTCATTGTCCTTAAACACAGGTGTCCCTCTGTAGTTATGGCTCAAATGGTGTGAGTGGGCATGACTGTGTTACTTGGTGTGTGGAGGCCCACACATTTTCGAATTATATTATTTAAATGAAACCATAGAAGTTCACTGAGGCCACCCAATGTCAAACGTTCTTCCTCAGGATGCTGGTTGGGTCTTTTATTAGCCTCTACTGAAATCGCTATTGTCACCCAGAACCTGTGAAACATTGAAACCCTCTTATTGCTAGGAAGTCTTTCCTCAGTTGAAACGAAATGTGCCTCCCAGTAAGTTCTCCACTGGTTGTTTCTTGAGCCAGTGGTTCTACTTCATAACCAGCCCTCACACACTTTGGAAGAGAGGGGTCGATCTCCCTACAGACATCTCAAGAATGAGCAGAACTGACCTCAGGAATGGAAACTTTCTTTTTACGACATAATTTTTATGCTCTCAGAATTCCGATCATCCTTCTCTGACTGCCCTCCAGCATGTCAGCATTCCTTTCGAACTGGAATCCAGAAACTGAATAAATGTTCCACATGTCTGGAATATCACACAAAACAGTAGGACTATTGTGTCCGTAGATTTAGACCCTTAGCAAATATTTTCAGTGAAAAAGAATTTTGCCTTTTCCTTGCCCTCCACTCACAAGTGGTTTAATCCTAAATGTAGAACTTTGCATCAATCTCTGATAGAGGTTCTTCCTGGATTCAGTGTGCCAGAACATAGAGATTATTGCAAACCTTTTTCCTGTTGCCTCTCATATTATATATCTCACCATGTTTTGCTAAAATGGGAGGCATGCTCCCTATGCCTTTTGTCAAGGTAATGGTGAAAACTCTGCATTGGAGAGGAGCACAGCAAAGCTTGTATGCCCCTGCACCGGAGCATCAGACCGTGTCATGTTGCCACCCTGCTGGGCGGGCCTAAATGTTTACGAGTTATAGCACTGTCACTTGGTTGACACCACATGTACTAAAATCATGAATTTTTTTGAGAGAAGGAAAATAATTTGTTAATATCTTCTTGCTTTGACTATGAAAGATACCTAGTAATCGTAATTTGCATTCCTGAGCAATTGAGCATGAACTACATAGAGCGTTAGCCTGGCGGAGAAAGAGTGAGACGTGGCCATTATCAGGGGATTCGGAAAGTTAACCACATGCACAGGAAGTTCCATATTGAAATGTAAGCCCTTAGGTAATGTAAGCCTTAAGTGAACAGGGATGTCGAGAACAGAGGGAAGGGGTAAAGGAGGAACCAATCTATTCCAATTTTGAAATGCATGTCACTTTTTATGGTAATGGAATGTGCTATATTTCTATCACCATGTGCAGAAGAAAACAAAATGCCCAACTTCAAAGACTGCAAAACACAATGAGAGTCTCTTCCAGAAATAAGATCCACATATGCAAACATACCCACAAATTTAAGTACACAGTTCCAGTGTTGTTTTTAAGATTTTCATGAAAGTCATCTCTATTCTATGTGTGGATAAATTACATCATTAAATCTCTGAAATAGAGTTCAGCTAACATCCAGATCCTTTGTTCTGTGTTCCAAACACGACCATACCAATCAACCCATATTCCAGCTCCAGGAGTGGCAAGCTTTACCACCCTGGAAAGGGCCCGGGGCCCTGCACAAGGGGTCTCTTTTGTCAGGTTTGCCACAGATTGAGCAACAGTGCTTTCTTTCCCACACCCTGCACACCACATCTGAGGCAGTAATGACCTCAAAAAGCTTTCCTTCTGAACAAACACATGACTCCCACTTCCCTTAGTTCAACCTGAGGTCACATCAGGGGTGAGGGCACTGAAAGAGGAAGTAATGGTGAGACCATTTGACCCAGTGATGTCCAGGAAAGACACAACTGATCAAGCACATGACAGCCATCCTTCCTCCATCCAAACTGGGCATTGAAAGTCACAGTGACAAAGGGCTATCGATTCCCCTTTGAAGCATTTCCAAACTGACTGATGGCCGGGGATTTATTACCAGGAAGAGAGTTTGCAAATCCTTGCTGTCTCCAGACTCTGTCCAATACCTCTCTTAAAATGCCACAAGGCTGACCTGTGGTTGTGGGGATAACCCATGTTTCTTTTTAGGGTTTGTGGGGCCCCGAGGATCCAAAGGTGCAGCAGGCCTCCCTGGCCCAGATGGACTCCCAGGTCCCAGCGGCACGCCAGGGCCAGTTGGGCCCCCAGGAGACAGGGGCCTTCCTGGCGAAGTCCTGGGAGCCCAGCCTGGTCCCCGGGGAGATGCTGGACTGCCTGGACACCCTGGGCTGAAAGGCCTTCCCGGAGACAGAGGCCCTCCTGGTTTCAGGGGTAAGTCACCGTGGCAAGAGAGGGGAACGAAGGGCCCCATCCCACTGCACTGTGGCTCCTAGGGGTGGGTCTGAAATCCCTCCAGGGGAATTTGGTAAGAAGTGATAGAACTGTATGGCGAGAGTCTTGCTTTTTCTTCTCTTCCACTTAGTTCCAACGTTCCTTTAGAATGTTTTTAGGACGATAATCATCCTGTGTTACCTTCTGTAGCCAGAAAAGGATGGCCATTTGAGACCTTTCAAAGGTACAGATTTGCTGATTTACTCTGTTCCCAAGATGGGTGTGAATCAGCACGGAGGGACTCGCTGGTGCCTTCGGCAGAGTGTGTGCAGTAGGCGTGAGAGACTGAGGCAGATAGAAATGATCTAGAATACGATTTCATGGGTTGGTGTAAAATTGATTGGTTTAAAAATTCATTAATGTTCACAATATAATTTATGTATGTTTAACAAAGTAGAAATACCCATGTTTTGATGAACGAGCAAGGCATCAGATAACTTTACATATCCAATTTGTGCAAAACTGGCACTGAGAACCCCAGACACCTCGCTTTAATGAAAGATTGTGTCACTAGAAAGCAAGTATTCTCATTCAGTGCACCAGATGCAAGAGACTGCCAGACCATCAAATCCTGCCATCAAATATGTGTTCCCAATCAACTATGAAGGTGCGGGATGAACCATGACCTTACATGTCACCTATTTGTCTGTTGATGGTATTGTCATCAATTCCCACCCCCAAGCCCAGGCAGAAGGAGGCTTCCTACGTGATACAGGAAGCGAATGTTCCCTCCCTCTACTGCCAGAGGAGTAGGGCATCTTTTACATTAAGACACTAGGGAGATGTAGCCTGGTTCTCAATGGGCAGGTGGACTCACCAAGTTCAGGAGCATGAATTGGTTTGCAGCTGAGCCCGTCAGTTCCCAGCAGGCCTGGGAAGTGGGACACGGAACATGAGTGTTCACGATGACACTGATTACCACCTCAACTATTGACTAACCAGAAGAACCCTCAGTGTGGGTGCCAGAGTTCCCACTGGGAACCCACTGGGGTGAGGCCCAAAGAACAGAAGGAAGAGCCTGAGATTCCTGGAGTGCATGCATGCACACACACACACACATACACACACTCACATTCATTCATGCACATGCACACACATGCACCCACACATTCAAACACATGCTCATAAACACAGGCTTGTGCACATACCCACACAGGTGCTCCTACACATACATATATGCCCACATATATTCACTCACATAGGCACACATGCCCACGCCTGCTCATGTACACATGATCACATGCATGCATGCACACACAGATCCACACCTGTGTGCCCACACACTCACATGCTCCCTTACACGTGCTCCCATGATCATGATCTTACACAGGCTCACATGTACACACTCACGCGCTTACAAACACACCCCTGAACCATACCACTTTGTTCAAGGCCAGCTGGGCACGTGGCCATTGGATGAAATCACCAAGCAGTTGGGACCTGATGATGCCAGGACATCCGAGGTCTGCCCTTGCTGATTTCACTACTTCTTAGTCAGTTATGGAGCAGAAGATCTAACTCAGTGACTCTGTAAAGACTGAGGAATTGGTGGTGCTGGAGGGTGGCGCTCTGCTTCAGCC